AACAACGGAGTACCAAGAAGATTAAGATGTGATCAAGCGAAAACATTCAGAGCTAAAACAATTCCAAGTTTTTTATCGGACAAATAATATAAAACTACTATTCGCACCTGTAGATGATCACAGGGCAATTGGGGTAGTGGAAGGAATGATTCAGACGATTAAACGTAGGTTGCCAGTAATGAAAATGGACCAGTCAAATACACCATATAAATTACCTTCAGATGTCGCAGAAATAATCAAAACACTGAGAATCACACCACACGGTGTCACAAAAATTTTTTCTCTTGAGGCGCATCTGGACAGAAAACCAAAAACTCCACTATCGAATATAGCCGCAAATAGCTCACCAAACAATCTAAATTGGGAGAACGCAAAACATGCATGTTTAGATCAAAAGAACCTTACGAAGCCACCTCTACCAGCGGAAGTTATGCATGACCTCCAGCGACGGGCGGAGGACGAAGTGCAGATACAGAAGAAGGGATCAACACCTAAAGTCACACATAAATCACTACCAAGGACGCTCACTATCACGCATTCGCCGACACAGCCAGAAACAGTGGCACATTCAAGATCTATAGAACTAGCTAAAAACAAACTTAAGATAAGATACAAGGGAGTACAAAGAACAAAAGACAAAAATATTGAAAAACGATTAGAACAAGTGGCACGGAAAATTATCCGGTTAGCAACCAAAGTCAAGAACCCAAAAACGTTTGAACAAAAATATAAGACCATAGATGGAAAAATCCTAACCTACACATCACGCACTGCTTGGGTACAAATTTTTGGCAAACAACCGAGGTTACTAAGAAATAGCGGTACAGCATTTGTTTCTAACCCTGTAATATGCGGACCATGCATACCTTCTCGATTAGGCGATTATGTTGCCTAAAAAACCCCGCGGAGAACCGGACCATGTCTAGGTTCTTTAGACATAGAAAACCCGCAGGCTCCACAACACCCCATGGTCAAGGAGGACACTAGAACGGGGCTTCCAATCAAACTAACAGTACAGGAGAAGGCAGCACTGAGCAAAAGCCAAAGCAACCCCACAAAAAGAAAAGCGACAGGAAAGAGGATTGGAGGAAAACCAGTAGGAAAGCTACAAACGCCACGGGGGATGAGCCTCCAAACGGAGACTAAAATGGAAACGAACAAAAGCCCTGAGAAGGATGATGATTCGTCGTCAATGTCAGAGGAGCCCATCACACCGTCACCAAAGCGACAAAATCAAAAGAACACACCACCTGCAACCGCAACAAGTAAGTCAACTAGAAACCGACAGGCGACCTTGGTAACAGCACTCTGTAGCCCCATCCCAATCTGCACAATACAAATCGCGAGTGCAACCGGGAAAAAGCAGTTCGAAATCGACTCACCACCATAAAAATCAAAGCAAGACTCACCAAGCCTAAAATCTCTGATACAGGAGATTGAATTTACCGAAAAAACTCCCGAGTACAAGGCTTGTCATCCGGCATGGATAGATAAAACTCCATATAAAACTTATTATGTATTTACACATCATTTATGTTTTGATATTATGTAACGTTACTGTGTACTGGTCGATTGACCTTGATAGCGAGGGCGAGAACGGCGGTTAAAGTGAACTACGGTTCAGAAAGAGAATTAACGTTCACATTAACTAGTTGTTTTAACTTCTCTCTCTCTCGCGCCCGATATTATCTATCCATACGGATTCAACAATTAGCAGTTCATACCTTGAGGACTTAGCGGTATGACATGGCGCAACCACCAGGATTTTTGAAGAACCCGCTAAACATAAACCCATTCTGGGAACGAGCATCGGCTGAACCCCCATTAGAGTGGACGAAATGGGCGGCAATATTGGAATTAGCACTATTCGCAAAAGACGGCATCGAATTTCGAAATCTTTTACGAACAAGACCACAATTAGTAGAGTCATCTGAACCAGTATACGAGGTCGAAATATTCGGGGAAACGGAAGCCCAAAGGAAAAACCGAGAGGTACGTAATCAAGAAAAAAGAGTGGGCTAGGAAAACCCTGCACATTTTAAACGCTTAACGCAGCTGAAAAATGTTTAGCAACTTGAGCGCATATGCTTTTTGTCGAAGAAATTACCACTAGACAAAAAACAGCGCATGCATTTGAGTTTGCGAATCACTTTTGTTTGATCAGTAAATGTGTTCAAGTTCTCAACTTTACAAGACCAATTTAATTTCTGAAGAGTCAAAAACATGTCAATGTCAATTATAAACATCTGAACCCGTGTTTTATTTGTAATTTCTTTGTCTCATGGCCTGCGATATGGTGTGCTAATACCAAATTTGGGTGCAAAAGGGTGACCCTTTTGTTAAAAAAGTTGGGATAAAACACGAAATCCCAGGCCACGAGACAAAGAAATTATGATTACAACACCTGTTCAGTGGTTTATAATTAACATGTTTTTCGACTCTTCAGAAACTAAAATGATCTTGTCAATTTTTTGATACTGAATAAACAAGTTGATTTCGATACAATGTTTTCTCAGGTTTCGAACCAAAATTGAGTGTTTATTGCCTGAAACTGCCTCAAAATATTGATATTGTAAAGTTTTCAAAAACAAAAAAGCAATGATTGATGGAAAAGTGGAATATAACACCCAAGAAGCCAACTTACCAATAAAGACTTATGAATCAGCCAGCATTATGCACTGAAACTAAAAAACAAATTTTACGTATCTTATTCCTTAAAGCGTACAATTTTCTGGCAACGAATGAGCTAAGGCCCGATAAGTGTTTGAAAATGGAAGTTACTCAACGCGATCTATGCTTGAAAGAGCATTTCTTAATAGATACCGAAACCTAAACGCAACTGTTCCTTAAAAACCTAATATCAGTTTTCCTAGTGCATTACATCGAGAGCAAATGTGCTGGTCGTAATGTCAATGTGTGGTTTTTATTGTAAAGATTTTAAATTTGATTGTTTAAAATGATGTATATCAAATTTTTGCCATGCTAAATAAACTATTGAATTGAACGTACCAAAAAAATTAATTATATTAAAACCAAAGGCTAAATCAATTGGCAATTATTTGCCCATACTTTTTCTCAAGCAACGCATGGCTGGCCGTGTGAGAAACACTCAATATCACTTTCCCTAATTGCCAGTATGTAATTCTTTTGTCTCCAAAAAAAATCCAAATCTTGTACGTGTAAGGTTACAAAATTTTGTCATGAACGGGTCTCTAAAATTCGAATTTATACTGACGGCTAATTTTTATATTCTTTTCCAGCAAATAAATGCAATTTTTGTACGTATAATTGCTCTCCAGCAAATAAATTGCTGGCAATTGTTTTCCAGCAAATAAATGCATTTATTTGTACGTATAAGTGCTTTTGTTTTATTTTCCAATTAAGGCGAATAAAAATTGAGAAATAATTTGGACCTATTTTGAGCGGACGTTTAAAACTGAATTTCCTAATAGTTCGTTTAAGCGTCTGAATTAGCTTTTGGTGAAAAAAAATTTTCTGAAAACTCTTATATCATAATTATTTTGAAAACTTTCGTCTCAGTTTTTGAACTTCAATCCGTTTTATATAAAATTTTACGAAGTGAAATGTCCTTTTAACTTTGAGTTTAATGCAGCAACATCTTTCTTTAAGACTGAATTAAAGAATAAGTAGTTAAAAAGAATTGTTAGCTAAAGAGTCGAAAACAGTCCGGAGATCAATTATCAGGCTCCGAGCCAAAATAATCAATGATTTTCTTTGCGAGTCGGAACATCAACAACAGCCAATTTTTTCTAAAGTATACATCACAAAAATTTTTGATCACAAAATGTTTTAATGCAAAACATGTTTTAATGCTTCTGCGTAAATATGAAAAAAAAATTCTTTACTGGCTCGCACGTTTTAGTTTATTTTATGTTTGGTGTCATTAAGTGGCATAAAAGACATAAACGTGAAACAATTTTTCTCGGCTCGGTGAGAATGTTATATAAGTTTTTGTTCCGACCATTGAAAATGAGAAGGAACTTTGGATTCGGGTGTGTTTTATTTCCACGGAAAATCAGCTACCACAAATAAATATCGGACAGGGTTGAGTGATATATCATATTAAAACCCTTCCAGTCCTGTTTCGAGAGACCTTAAAAATTCAAAAAAAATTCACTGCCGAGAAAAACCAGTTTGAAATTTTTGATTTTTGTTCTAATTTCGAGCTAATTATTAAGGTAATTAGTAATTGCAATAGCTTACTTAAGCTTAATTTAAGACATGAAAATTTTATTTGACTCAAGTAAAGATAGTTTTTAAAGTTTTTTAGTGCAGTTTTAGGAATCAAAAACTTGAAATATCAAAAAGTTTCCGCAAAAAATGGAAAAAATTTTTGAAATTCTTTCTTTTTTTTTTTAGTATTTCTGGTCTTTTTTCTTAAAAAAACTGTTTTGCAATTGAACTATTTTAGTATGACGCTCAAAAATGTTCAAATTCTATTTTATCGTTCAGATTTTTTTTATCACAACATGCAGAAAAAAACGACACACATTTAAAAAAACTTTTTTTTTGTATTTTTTATAAGACTGTGGGCGGAACATTCTGTGCTACTTGCGCAGTGACCGGTTATCCTGGTTTATATTTTGATATCAATTTAAAGAGGACATAAAAGGTTTCGATATAATATATAACTCAACTACGTACAATGTCGCTACCTGATAGTGCAAGGAAAAAACAAACCCAAAAATCAAAATGTTTGCAATTATTGACATGGGCGACCAAAAAATATAGCCAAAAGACTACAGTAGTTACTTGAATTTTTTAAAAGCGCTAAGAGTGACTTAAAAGTTTAAATTTGAAAGGATAGCGCGCAAAAAAATCATTAAAATGGCTTTTTTGAAAAATTTGCAGCAGAATTCAGGGCTAAAATAGGGTTTTATCCAACTTAGTCAACCTATATGTTCTCTTTGCGTGTTTTTTAATAACAGAAAACGCGTTATGTTCAAGGTTCTGAGCGCTGTAAAATTTCTTAGACTTACCAATTTTTTTATTAGGACTGCAAATAAATTTTGTGAGTGTAAACAACAAATTAAATTAGTTTCTTTTGTTTTTAAACAGTGGAATTTTGTTTGCTAAGTTGGCAGTGTTCTGGTTTATTTTCATCAGAAAAAGCATTAAAAGTGTCAATCATCTGGTATATTAATAAAGCCTGATAGAGCGGACGCTTTGAAGTTGGAGTATTGATCTGTGGTATGGTGAAAATATGCGATAATATAGCACTTCTATGCTTCCTGACCGATCCAAGTTTCTTCACTCCAGACACAAGCTAACGATTTTTCCGCATTTTGGATTTTTCAACTTTGGTTCCTGTTTGCAACTACAATTCTAAACAAGGATAGCCATTGAATATGCAAATAGCACAGAATGTTCCGACCATAGTCTTAAAAAATACAAAAAACTAAGTTAATTCTTCATATTAGTGTAGTTTTTTCTGCATGTTGCGATAAAAAAGATCTGAACAAAAAAACTAGTAGTTAAACAAATTCGAAAGTGATAAGAAAAGAAGCTAATTGAACAAGTTTTTTTCAAAACAAATGAGCGATAAAACAAAACAAAACTGCTCGTATCAGGGTGAAGCCCTGAATGTTCCGACTGCCTTTTAAGGTTTATGGAGCAGCAGTAAAAACATAAAAAAATTAAATGATTTAAAATAAAATGAAATTTTTTTTTAAATATGAAATTTTTCTTATGAAAATCATCCCCCCCACACGCCATATAAAGTATAAAAAGATAGATTTTGCTCCTTGTAACAAATCAATTATGGCAAATAAGCTTCGTTCAACCAATTTGGAACGATTTATAAGACGGATTAAATCTCCGCTTACGCGTTAATAGCACGAAATATATCGCGCGTTAATTGTCCCAAATTGGTCAAAATGGCCAAAATGGCAATCTTCAAACCCTCATAACTTTACGCAAAATGATCACAGGTGAAATATCTTTTCAAATTTAAGCTCATAACAACAATACCTTTTGAATGATATAAAAAAAATTCCGTCAAAAATGGCTAGTTAAAAAGTCGCAATTTGTCTGAAGAAAAAAAAACCCATCCCGAGCACAAATATTCCGTTACTTTCGTATCGAACGAAAGTCGGAACAAAAATCACAAAAAAATTACTAAAACAGAAAAAATCACGACTGAAAGGGGGGCTATAGTTAGACATATCACTCAACTCACTCCGATGATTATCCTTTGAAGGTGATTTGGCGTGGAAAATGAAAAAAGAACAAACTAAAACACACCCGAATACAAACTTCCTCCCCATTTTCAATGGACTGATCAATTAATTATTTAGAATGTTTAATTTTGTTTTGAAAAAGATGTCCTCTTCCAATGATGAATTTAGGTGAACAACTCATGTCGAGGTAGTGTTTCTTTTGTATTTAGACTTTCAAAGCCTGAATCAATATTAATTGACACCAACAATTCAATGCTGTCTCAATGCTGGACTCAAGTCTCAAATAAAGTCTGATCATAGTCGCAAACATCTGAACATATACCCAATTTAGTCTTTTTTCCCATGGAGAATGCTGAATGAGCCCAATTGATAGAAACACAAATTAAATGAACACCATTCTTATCAAAATGATCTGAAGTACCTCAATTTTTAGCAAAATCAGCCTAATGTTTGGTCCTCGTTTATCCAGTATCGGATTGAGTGAGCCCAATTTTTAGCAAAAAAGCTGAATGAGCCCAATTTTAAGCAAATTTGGCTCATTAAGTTTCCTATTTTTAGTTTCAAAAGACCAAAACAAACGGTAACTTTGAGGATTGGTAGAATAGAGGTGTCAAAGAGGTCTCGAATACTCATTGAGTTGGCTCGAGTCCCTTGAGGAAGAGTTGCTTGTGTACAAAACTGGCTGAATGAGTCCAAATTTTGGTCCTTGGTTTGCCATTAAAGGGGACGATTGAGTCTACTTTTCTTAACATTGGGCTCCTAATTGGGCCTCATTGGGTGAATTTTTCTGTGATAACTAGGGGACCAATCGTACTAAAAACAAGGCTCATTCAGCTCCTTTTCATGGAAAATTTTCAACAAAAAGTTTCGACCCTGGATATAAATCATTGCAGACCAGGGTATAATAAACATGATCTTAAACAAAAGTCCCAAATGAGATAAAAAACATATATAAAAACTAGCTTAACAATCAAAGATTTCATTTTCAGGACGGTAAATCTTCAAATAGAAGCCCTAGCCTGAAATTTGTGCGCAATATTTTTTTCAACAATTTTGTCTCCATTTTGTCTAAATATTTTAAAACAATTAATGCCTATTTTGTTCAATGTTGAAAAAAATAACTTTTTCTTAGCATTAACTGCTTAATTTGGGTGGCGTCCCTCATGCTTGAAGGACCGAATGCTTGAAATTTATTTTAGCTTACTTTCAGCCAATCAGAATTGAGTATTCAAAATCTCAAAGTAAATCGTGAAAATCTCGAAGTAAGAAAATAAATCCAGGCCAATAGTGTTAATACTGACCGATTAGATAATAAGCAGATGAGTTTTCAAGAATGAAAAATTCTTTTGATTTTTAACTCATTAAACTTGATGTTTATCTGAATAGTTTTGCGGTTGTAACCCGCAATTTGTAATATATTTGATTATTTTCTACTGATTCAAAACATTCTCTGTTAATATTGACTTCGATTTTGTGAGAAAGGCATTTAGCCAATAGAAATGCTTAGCGATTTTGATTGGCTGAACTTTTTCAAGCATTCGGTCCTTCAAGCATGAGAACCCTCCCCCTTAATTTGCACCGACACATTCCAAATAAATTAATTGTGCTTAATAGAATGGGCATAGGATCCTGTTTCCAGATCATGTAAGCAATCTCCCCCTAAATCATTTTAGGAGCAAAAATGTTCGTTTGGTTTTTAGCCAATCAGATTTGAGCATAGAGCCTGCAGGCTTTACGGCTTGAGTATGCCAATAACTTTAGGGAGAGATTGTTCACTTGGTCTATTAAGATGAGAGATTGTCCACATTTGCCTAAAAATGTTTCATAACAAATTTCGGGCATGGGATTTGAAAACAATAAAAATTGTCATAATGACCAATCAGGCTAATCAATGCTCTTTAATCACTTCGATGCGCAGTGCTTAAGCCGGACACAAATGCTATAATGCGCTTGAATTTGTGTTTGCCGTTTATCTAGTTTCCCGTGAGCAATTGACTCAAAACCTGACTTTAATAAAAATTTTTGGCTCAATTTTTATATTTAAAAAGGATGCATATGTAATAGGCCAGATTTTGAAAGTAACTGCCGCAAAGTTCAAGAATGGTTTAAATTCTGAAAAACAAATTTTTACAATAAGGTGGTGCCCTAAGGTGGTTTTACACTAGTAATTAAATTCTTAAAAAGGCTATTTTGGCACATACAGCATCATTTATTTCAAATGAAAATTTACAGAAATTAAATTTAACATGATTGTATTTCAGAACAATTCTGTGCATGTTTTGCATACACCATTTTTTCTTTTTCATTCAACTTGAAAAAACCATTATTACACTTTTCTTCAGATTTTGCTAGATTTCTTGCAAAAAATCATCGCAGTACACGCTATGAAAAGTACAAAGTGATATTTTTTCATTTGGCAGAGTATTAAATAGGCCAAAGAACATACCGCAACCCAATTTTGAACTATTTACAACGCGAATGAAATATCCTCTTATCAGTAAATATATTTTTACAAAAAATTATCACAGGTGAAATAATTGCTTAAGTTTGAATTTAATTGCAAGTTAAGAAAACGAATTTCGTCTGGAGCAAAAACCACCCCGAGCCTAAATATTTTGTCAATTTCTTCAAAAACTGTCAGAATAACAACTGCAGTTTGATAAAACGCAAACATTAGATATTATTTCACTAAGTTTGGAGATAATCAAAAAAACTCTCGAAACAGACAAAACTTCCTTAATTATGCAATTCCAAAGCAGGTGCCTATATTTCTCTATCATAGTCACGACTCAAAGTACAAAGTTGAATACGAACAAGGATAGCCGGTTTTTGTGCAAAATAGCAATGTTTCGACCATGTTCATTAAAAAACATATTAAATTTTTCGAGTTTTTTTTTCAAATTCATGTTTTTATATGTGTGTTTTTGCAAAAAGATCTGATGGAAACCTAAAACTCGACTACCACAGTAGACTAGATGAATCGAGCAACGGTTTTTGACAAAGAAACGAATCAAAAAAACTAAAGTTTCTTAAATGGCGCTAAAAATTTTCAGGCAATAGTTTTACTGCATTAAAATTAGAGTTTCATGGCGCACCCTTCTACAATAAGACTGCTCATTTATTTTACTCGCTCAAAATTGGACTAAAATTTTGAAAACTTTAACCGGTTTGTCAAGAAACTGGGAAATTTTTTGACAATTTCAAATGTCGTTCAAATCACGACTGATAGGACTTCAAATTGCTGTATCATTCGAGTCATTTGGATGATTGTTTGTGGTAAATGTTTTTGGTCGAAAATCAAAATAAGCCTACTCGCTCGACTTATTCGCTCAAAGATAGGCCAAAATCGAAATTTTTGAACGGGTTTTTCTCGACACTAAGAAAAAATTTCAAAATATTCAAATGTAGTTTGAATCATGACTAAATCATAGGCTTTTCATGATATTTCAGCTGAACCACTCTAATGATTGTTTTTCGTACCTGATTTTGAGTGGCCAATAAAAAAACAGAAAAAAAACACACCCGAATACCAAGGTTCTACCCATATTCAATGGTAGGAACAACAACAATTTTATTTTGATTACTCTCATTATCCCTCAAGAAAATGTTTTTGATAACACTTGATACACTGGTTAGGTTTTCGCGGTTGTTTTTCAATTTTAGTTTTTTTTCAAAATGATTTTTCGAAGCAAAATTTACATCGTGCCACTGGTATAAGAACGTTGAGGGCGCGACATACTGAATCAAAATGCGGTATGGACATTTTTAACATGTTGATTATATGTGTTTCGAAGATATATATGCTCGGGGTGGTCTGTTTTAATCGGAACAGTTTTAAATAGTTTTTTTTTCGCTAGGGCCCCGCCGAGTTTGCACACCACAACATTTATCTGGCTTGAGGCAAACGTAACTGCTCGTTTTATAACTTGATATTATAAGTGTAACGCGAAATATTTATGCGTGGCGAATAATCCCGCACTACAACTCGTTCATAATTGAACTGCAATTGAGGCTAGCTAATTGGTCTTAATAATTGCACGCAGTACTCAAGTTTTAAAAATTTCAAATTGATATCCTAAAGTTCATAGTTTATCAATACTTCATCTACAAATAACTATTCGAGACCAGTTAATGGGCATTCGGAACATTCAGGGCTTTGACTTGATACGATCAGCTTTGTGCTCCCCGAGACGACGTTGTGGCTTTATGATGAGACGTTCGCGACCAAATTTTAGTATTTCCAGACTACCGCGATTGAAATTGAATATTTTCAGACCACCGTTACCAAAATTTGGTATTTCCAGGATTTGCAGATTGATGCAATGTGCTCGCGACCGGCGAAAAGTTTACCGCGACAGCAGACACGTGAACTGCGACAGCGCCTTCACGCCCCCTTAAAACCTTCACCTATTCAGACAATTATTTGCTTTAATACGAAAAGCGTACTATTGAGATATATTTCAGGCAATTGAATGACGGGCTATGACCAGTGTCATCAATATTATACATCGACACAGGGGCGGACCTAAGATTTTCTCGAGGGGGGGGGGGTATTTCAAAAAATTTTGTCGACCTTTTTTTTAGGTCGACCAAATTGATTTTCCGAGCTCTCCCAAAGCCAAAGACATGTTTTGGCCAAAATTTCAGCGCCGCAGGCAAAATTTAAAAAACAGGCAAAAAAGGCGTTTCTAGGTATTTTTGGAAAATTTTGACCAAAAATCGCATTTTTTGGCGCGCGCTCCCCCCTCAAAATTAGTATATATTGGCGCCTAAAGAAAATTTTTAGGGTCCGTCGCCAAAAATGGATATTTCAAAATAGTACAAAGGGGGGACCCTTTGGGTTGGTAGGGGATCGAATCCCTGAGGGAGGGGCGTCCGCCCCCCCCCCTTCCCTAAATCCGCCCCTGCATCAACACCAAATTAATTAAAATTAATGTTTCATGTTTCTTTTTGGCCTCAAAAATGACTTAAAATCGCTTCTCAAAAATTTTAGTAACCTTGATAATTGATCTAAGTGTTGCCGAAAAATTGTTTTTGGCCACATAATCAGCGTGGTAAATTTTATTTTGACTAATTTTGGCTTTGAACACTAAGTTCAGCATTTTTTTATTATAAAGTTAAACGTTCTGGGATGCCGATAATTCACTTGGTTTATTTTCAGGTAGGGAAGGGGGAGAGATCGTTCACATGGATTGTAATCTGTGTGTAGCCTCTAATGTCGGAAGAATCAGTTGCTATAGTACCGAACTGAGGTAAGGCTCACTCACAAAATCTTTGCCTTGTAAATTAAACGGCATGGGAAAATTCGAACCGTCAACCATACGATCGGCAGTGCAAGAGAACATCCCTACCAACATTTTCTTAACGTTTTCTTCGAAATTCTACAACTGATGTACCATAAAAAATTTTCCAGGAACTAAAGACTTCGCGGTGAAGTGTCATGTCAAAGTCTATCTAATTTAGAAAATATACGCTTTAGCGTTTATAGCGGTTTATCGTAATGAGCTCAACCGCTCAAATGTAAGTTTTCTTTTCCAAATATCAGGTTTTGAATATCAAATACTTGAATTGAAGCTGAAATTGTAAGTGAAAAAAGAACATCGGAAAATTGTCACCGTAAACAAGAAACAACATATGTAAATCAGACATCATATATGGAAAAGAGAACAATAATTACACAAAAATAAAGGGCACGAAAAAAATATAAGCAAAAATGTTTGCAGCGCTCGTTCTTCTTTCAGGTTGTAGCGACAGTTGATTTCTGCAGCGTATTTATTCTTTGTTTCAACTTGTCGACAACTCGAGCGCGTTTGAATCGCTCCGCTTCTGAAGTCAAAAACTTGATCACGCTAATTTGGTAGTTGACGGGACCAGTGAGGTTATTGCACATGCTATCAGCCGTGAGATCAACTGAAAAAGAAACCAATTAAGTATTGAAAAAGTAAACATAATTTTTGGAAGACAGGAACACTGACTCGCAAGCATGAAATAACGTAGTTAGTGTTCAAAAATATCAAATAAAAAATAGAAACTTTATTATCAAGTCGCCAAATTTTGCTACTCAAAACTCAGTTATCACAGTATTCAAAACTAATCATAAGCGATTTCCCATCGTGTCACAGAAAAAACTCTGAAAAAATAAGCACAGGTTGGATATTTCTGCTACAATATGTTTGATTCGCTGCACCAGATAAGAGAAACTCTGTGTTGTGAGACTCAAAGTGCTGCTTACCTTCAGAAGAGGGATAGCGGATTACTCTACAAATAGCGTGGACCAAATCATCCGTTCTCTTTTTCCAAACTTCTTCATCAAACAATGCCTCCCCGTTCTTTAACTCGTCAACTTCAGTTGGGGACAACACTGCGGCAGTTGTAGACTTTGGCTGTCTAAATCCTCCATTAGCAGTCCGCTCCTTTCGCTCCTGGTTTCTGAAGGCTGCTCTCAAACTGCCTGGCTTCTTGTCTTTTGATTTAAGTTTTGCTGGAAACAAACATTTTCCTCCAGATCAGAGACAGGATAGGATAGTTAATTTTATTTATCATTGAACGCCGCTAAAACAGCGTTCAAAAATTGGTATTTTGCGTATTTTGGTTTCACTTCACAATGACAGAAAATGTAACCAATTAAAACACTTTAGTCAAATTCTGACTAATTTGTCACAATTTCCATCAGATTTCTGATTGGATAACCTAGCTTTCAATTCTTCCGTGTTGTCCGATTCCTGTCACAAGTTCGCATGAAGATTAACCAATTTTTTCAAGTCCTAGGTTTTTGACTCACATTTTCCGTTCGTGATAGGTGCTGCTGATCCTCCTTCGAACGCAGATGGGGGCAGACTGGGAGGTCTAATGCGTTTTCCAGGTCTGTAAAGGACTGGAGACATGGGTGATTGGCGTTTTCCACCTGGTGCTGAGAGGGAGGAGCCCCCGAGGCCACTTCCGGCAGAGGGAGAACTCTGATTGGACAACGAGGCGGAGACCTGGTGCTCGTCAAAATCTTCTGTCTCGTCAATCATCATCTGGGAAAAATGTAATAACCTAGTCAGATACTCATCTACCAAATTTTTCATTCAGTATAAAAGGAACCATAGGACGAGATAAGCTGTTCAGAAGTTGACTCCAGTTGAATTATTTGGAATTCTTTTCTAGCGGCTACTTAACAGCAATCATGGAATATGGAGGGTCCCGAAACACAACCATTTGCAAAGAAAGATGAAAGTTCTTACTGCTTTGCCAACGCTCAATACATTAATATCAGGATGCGGAAAACAATAAATTTAGGGCCTCAAAAAACTTTAGGAAGTTTTCTCTCGGTTAGCGCTCGCTTAAATTTAGATTTTATAAAATCAATAACAATAACTTCGCCCTCTTCTCACTAAAACAATCTGACAGTTGTCAATTTTTTTTAAATTCAATTTCTTAGAAAAGCATCCAATGCCACGCTGTTTGCGAATTGATTTTCCTTATGAAAATTTGACCTTAAAATGCTTCATAAAAACAAAATGACTTCTGCAAATTCATAGCTACAACTTCGAAGGTTTTTTCGAAATCTAGATTCGTCGCTTACTTTTTAAACTTCAGTATGAACCGAAAAAAGTATAAAATATATTCACAAGCAAAATATTTAAAAGCAAAATATATTTACCTTTTTTCCGCTCCCTGATTATTTTGAGAAAAAAGTTCTAAACAATAGTCCATATATAAAGACAAATTTGCGCGTATCATGTTTGTTCTGACTGTCTTTCAACTGATCTGGTCAGCTTGGCTCAATTTCAATTTTGAAAAATACATATACTTTTCCCTGCCACAATCTCAAGTTCAAAAAACTACATATACAAAACGTCTTTTAAAGCAAAATTTGGACCAATTGACTCACCTCAATCCCAATTGAAATGTTTTAAGATGCGCAATAATTCACTGCTAACGGGTTTTTTATTTGAAAAAACGGAATGCTTCACACATTAATTTTAATTAATCTCTGGTGGTTCAAATTTTCGATTACTCATAAAAAACCGCACATATTGGAAACTAGATCTGCTGCCATTTAGTGTACTCTGACAGCAGCCAATTACAGGTTTGGTAATTTTAAACTTAATAATTTTTTTTTTAAATTCCAATTTTGAAAAATCATAAAAGCGTCATATCTCGAAAACTTTAAGGTCCTCTGGAAAAATTTGGAGGCGAGATTCGCAACCCCTGAGACTACTCTATAGCCCCCAAGTATTAATTAAGTTTTTAGAAAATTTTTAAATCACAAAAAAGGTCGTATCTCGTACACTAAAAGGATTACGGTCAGTAGCGGATTCGACCCCCTGCCGACCCAAAGGAGATATCCATTTTTGGCTGACTGACCCTAAAATTTTCTGGCATCTTTTGAATTTGCCAGCGGCGCAGAAAATTAGGTCAAAATGGAGTCTTTATAGGGTTTATCAGAAAATCAATTTGTTCGACCTAAAAAAAAGGGGACAAACTTTTCAAATTTTTTTGAAAATCCGCCAACCCCCATCCACACCCCCGAGAAATTCCCAGATCCAAGCCTGATTAGGTCATTCATAATTGGAGGCCAAGTTTGCCACCCTTGTGGGAACCCTGACAGCATCCCACTATTGGGCTGCTGTTTTTAAACTCGGTGAAATAACTACTGAAATCCAACAGAAAAATCAAAAAAAATTCTCAACCATTGCAAAATACGATAAAGCTTAAGCGTGAAAAAACTCTTTCGTTAAACTTGCAAAAATAATACGTTGAAAAAGCTTAAATGTGGCGAGATAGTGAAGCCTGCACTTACACACACACACACACACACACATATATATATATATATATATATATATATATATATATATATATATATATATAATAAAAGATAGATTGATTGGCAATTTTCATTTTGTACATATCCAATTCCTAAACTAGAAGTGATTCACAACTTTTCACATTTTAGCTGTTCAATAGCAGGCCTACCTTCCCATTAACAAATGAAAACAAAAATTTTCATTACGAGGCCGAACTGTGAATTGTAAGCGCTTGGCAAGGGCTAAAACGCAGAGAATGGCATGAAGCTACCAAAAGAAAAAAAATAACTCAGAATAACTAAGAAAAAAAAACTAATTCCATAAAAAATTTCATGGTGTCAAATGAAGTTTTAGGAAAAAAATAATGAGCGGATTTCCGAATTAATATAATGTAAATCCGGATAAAATTCTAATAGCTAAATGTTTTCCTCTACATAAGGGCAAAAATAGACTTCTTTAGAGTGAGCGATCTTCCAAAAACTCATAGCAAGAATGGGCTGTCATAAAATTCAGTTTTTCTCACCAAGCT